AGGACGTGGTCACCAAGAAGCTCAGGCCACGTGCAATGTCTTGCGCTGGCACAGGGACATCACCGCGATCCTCTGCAGTCCCATCTCCAGCGGGTCACGGTACCTCTTCAGTCAACTCTGATCCGTCGACTTGTTTTTAGATACAAAGCTCTGAAGGGCGCATTCATGGTGCGCAGTGTGGTGCTCTCCTCCCTGTCAACACCGTGGGGTGGTGAATCAGGCCATTAACACGTGCTTCCATTCACATCCTGGTTTCAGTGTGACTGTTAGAACCTGCTCCTTCAGCAATTTCCAAGTAGACGATGGACGCACAGTGGATCTCTTGAATTAATGGGAACAGATGTCCTGCCGAATGAGAACTTGTGTCCTCTGGCCAACGTCTCCCCAGCCCCCTCCCCTCTCCATGTCCTGTCCAGCCTCTGGTAACCTCCCTTCTAGTTCTTGCTTGGGTTTGGCCTCTTGGATTCCACACATGAGTTACTCAGCTTTTAGTCACTGAGACCAGAGGCCCCATGAGAACAACTCGGAGGAGGAGAAGTTTATTATGGACTTAGGGTTCCGGAGGCTCAGTCTGCGGCGGGTCAACTCCCTTGCTCTGGCCCCAGGTGAGGCAGACACAGCACAGGAAAGCTGCTCGCTCCTGGGAAGCAGAGGGAGGGAGCGAGAGAGTCGGGAGCCAGGACAAGATAGAACCCCAGGGGCATGCTTCCAGGGACCGTCATCCTCGGGCACACCCAGCCAGTTTACAGTGGGAGCCCAGGGATCCGCTGTTAACCCACTGGCAAGGTGACGGCCTTCATGATCTAATCCTTTCACCTCAGAACATTCCCTGCATTGCCACATGATGTTTCCAGGGACATTCGACATCCAAACCATAACAGCATATGAGTGACATTGTGTGGTATTTGCCTTTCTGTGCCTGGCTTGTTTCACTTAGCATAATGTCCCCATGTTCATCCATGTCACCAAAAATTACAGAATCCTCTTCTTTTTGAAGGCCGAATAGTATTTCACTGTGCACAAATACCTCATCCATTCATCCACTGCTCGGCATGTAGGTTGATTTTGCATCTTGAATCATGCTGAAATGAACACAGGAGTGCAGATGGCTCTCCCACATAACTGATTTTATTTCCTTTGGAAATACCCAGAGGGGGGATTTTGGATCATATGGAAGTTATTTTAATTTTTTGAGGGTCTTCCATATTGTTTTCCATAATGGCTATACTACTTTATATCTCCACCAACAGTGTGCTGGGCTCCCTGGTCTCCACACCCTGCCACCACATGTTATCATTAGGCTCTTTTGTAACAGCTCATGTAATAGTGGTTTTAGGTGGCATTTCCCTGATTATTTGTGGTAGCAAGCATCTTTTTCATAGGCCTCTTGGCCATTTGTATATCTTCTTTGGAATAATGTCCATTCAGTCATTTGCCCAGTTGAAGTCAGGCTGGAAACCATACTTTCTATTGAATTGCTTGAGTTCCTTATATGTTTGGACATTAGCCCTTATCACATGCACGGTTTGGAAATCTCTCTTCCATTCTGTAGCTCGCCCTTCCCTCTGTTGATGATCGCTGTGACTGTGCAGAAGCTTTTTAGTTTGTCACTCCCGTCTGTCTGTGGTTTGGTCATATCCAACCTGTTTTCTTAAGGACTTGGCACCTATGCCCATTGGAGGTGTTGGTCTGTCGTTCTGCCTCCTCCTGGTCCCTGGCCTGGCTGGGATCAGGGGACTCTGACCCTGTTAAGTGAGTTCAGAAGTGTCTCTTCCTTTGCAGTGTCTGTGGGCTCAGAAGGATTGGTGTGTGTTCTTCCTCAGCTGTTTGGTAGGATTCGGCAGCGAAGCCGTCTCACTGGGTTTCTGTTGGACGGGGTCTGACTTTGATTGATGTCCTTATTGTCATTGGCCTGTTTGGATGGCCTGTTTCTGGTGGTTCAGACTTGGCGGGCTGTAGGTAGGAATTCACAGGTTCTGGGTTGCAGTCTGTAGGTGGAACTGCTCCTAATACCCCCTGTGACCTCGTGTCCGTTGGAACGTCTCCTCTTTCATTTCCAGTTTTAGTTGGTCTTCTCTCTTCTGTTCTTAATCTAAGGGTTTGTCAAGTTGGTCTTCCTTTAAAAAGAACCAGACAGACGGCTCTTTGTTTCATTGACCTTTCTATTGTTGTCTTAGTCTCTATTTCATTATTTCTCCTCTCCTCTTTGTCATTTCCTTCCTGCCCTTAACTCCGGGGTTAGTTTGCTCTTCTTGTTCTTGATGGCATAAGATTAGCTTGTGTACTGAGATCTTCCTGCTTTTTTTGGTGTAGGCATCTATTTCTAGAAACTTCTCTCTTGGACCGACTTTTGCTACATGCATGTTGTCTTCCCCTTCCTGTGGTCACAGATGTGTGTGAGTTTCCCTTTGACCCGTGGTTGTTCAGGAGCATGTTGGACGTGCCTGTGGAGTCTCTGCACTGCACTTGTGGTCATTTCTCATTTCTTACCACCGTGGTGACTTGCTCAGTCTTGTCTCTGCTTCGCTATGTTCTGGTTGGACAATGTTCCGTGCGTGCTCTGCTGGTGTTGGGTGGAGCACTCCGTCTGTCTCTCAGGTCCACTTGGCCTACGGTGTAGCTTGAGTCTGCGATGGTCTGTGGGTTTGTGTCCACAGGATCCGTGTGCTGAAGCCGCATCGCTGGTGTGGTGTGTTGAGAGGTGAGTGACCCGCTGGGAGCCGCTCCGCGTAATGGAGCAGTGCTCTTGGAACCTGAGGGGAAGGGGAGGGTGTTGGCCCTCTTCACCAGCTGAGCCCACCAGACCCCTAATGTGCAGGTGCCTTGGCCTCAGGCTGCCCAGAGTTCAGAGCTGAGAAGTGAACGTGTGTGGTTTATCAATATCCAGTTTAAAGTGATTTTCATGGCAGCCTTAAGGACTAGGATAATGTCCAGTGTTTCCTTGTTAACTTCCTGTCTGGATGACCTGTCCACTGTTGAAAGCGGCGTCTGGAAGTCCCTGTTACTGTTTATTCTCAGTCCTCTCTCCCTCCGGTCCCTTGCTTCCTCTTTAGGTGTCCAGGGTGGGAGGAGGATGTACTTACAATCATGGCAGCTTCTCAGTGAATTGGCTTTTTTATCATTATCTGGTGACCTCTCTGCCCTTTTGTTTTTCTGGGAATAGGACCCAGGGCCTTGGCCACAGTGGTCAAGTGCTCCGGCCCTGAGCCCCGGCCCTGAGCCCACCCCTTTTGCACTGGACTCACCCACTTCACCCAGGGCGGCCACCCACCCTCCTGGCTTCATCGCATGGAGCACTTTCTCCACCTGCTCACTTCCCGTCAGGGTGTGCCCAGGGTGAAGTGGCCTCGTCAGCAGCTGGGTCTTCTTAAAAGATACATTCGGTCATTCTATGTCTTTTAATTGGGAAAACCAACCCATTTTTGTCTGAGACGATCGGGGCGGTGAGGAACCGCTGTCCTGTTGCCTGCTGTTGGTCATCTCCTCGGTCCCGGCCTCCCGGCTCCGTGTTCTGTCGTCTGTGTGGCACCCTGGAGTCCCACTCATGCCATCTGTTGTACCTCACCACCTGGTGACTGGACATTCCTGTGCAATGAGTCAGGAAAGCACAGGCTCACAGGGAAGGCCAGGTCCAGTGAGAGGCTGACCTGGGGGTGACAGGTGCTTCCTGGACTCTCTCTGGGCACCTTGGTTGCACGAGAGCCCCACAGCCCGTGTGTTCCACTGAGTGAGCAGGGCGGGTGCAGCAGCTGCTCAGTGAGCCAGGGCTGAGGCTCCAGGGGGAACCAGGGCCTTCGCCTCCTCCCATCCCAGACTCAGGCTGGCCTCTGAGCCCTCCCGAATGGCTGGCCCCTGTGAAATGAGGGAGTTGGAGTGGACATCTCCAGGGCCTGGCCACTCTGCTGTCATAGCACCCCGGCAGAAAAGCTCAGTCCCTCACACTCCAGGGAGAGGAGGTGGACCATTTGTGTTCAGGGGTGTGTGTGTGTGTGTTTTGTGTGTGTGTGTGTGCATTGTGGTGGCTGTGTGGTATGTGTGAGCATGTATGTTTGCATATGTACAGTGCGTGTGTGTGTCGTATGTGTGTGTGTGGTATATTGTGTGGTGTTTGTGTGCTGGTTCTGCTTGGTATGTTGTGTGGTTGTGTGGTATGACGTTTGGTAGTACGTGGTGTGTGTGTGCACAGAGTGTGCTGTATGTGGTGTGCACAGTGTTGGATGTGGCATGCCGTGTGGCGTTTGTGTGATGGGCGTGTGCGGATCCCCGTGCGTGTCTGTCTTTGTTCACCAGCACTCTTAGACTCCTGTGTATTAGCTTTGCAACCAAAATACCTGTCAAGAACCACTTAGAGGAGAAAAAGGTCATTTTGGCTCCCAGTTTCAGAGGTTTCAGTTCATAAATGGCTGAATTCATTGCTCTGGGCCAAAGGTAAAGCAGTAAGTCCCGGGGGAAGAGCCCATCGGAGGAGAGCTGCCCTTCCCAGCAGCCAGGACGCAGAGAGAGAGCAAGGGCTGCAGAAAGAGCCACCCTTCCCGGGCAGCCCCAGGGGCCACCTCCAACCACGCTGCCCTGCCTGGGTCACCTAGGTCACAGTCGGGTCATTCCACCTCTGAACGTCCCTGCACTAACAGGAGCTTCTAGGGGGCGCCTCATCTCCAAGCCACAGCATCTGAGGTCTTTTTCTTACTGTGAGGCAAGCGTGCGGGGCACAGCAGGCCAGCTGTGGTGAGCAGCCGTGGACGGTGGTTCTGACACTTCTGAAATCGCACCTGCTTAAAACCTCTCCATGTGAAGTGTCACTCAAGACAAAAAGCAGGTCATGTCAACCGTGCACCTTCAGGGGGACTGCAGTGATCCCAATGAGGCGGGAAGCCCCCCCCTCGGGTCCTCCCCTCCCTGGGATTGTGGGTGGAGTGCTGGAGTGGAGCTGCTGCCCTTTGGACAGGTAGCAGGTGCATCTGTTAGCTAACAGTGATGCCATGATGGTCTTTGTATTACAGCCCCTGCCCCCAGAAGGCAGAAATGTGACCACTGGACCGCGTGCCCCACCAACAGCTATGCCTACCGGTTGCTCAGCGGCGGGGGTCGCGACAAGTACGCCAAGATCTGCTTTGAGGATGAGCTGTAAGTAGCGGTGTTCAGGAAGAAAGCACAGCGTCTGCCCACCAGTCCCTTCTGAGGCTGCCCAAGTGGCAGGGCTGGCGAGAGGAGACTCTCATGCCCCTGGCCCCCGCCTAAGGCCCCGTGCACCTGGGAGGGAAGGATCACGCCTTGCTGGCTGCGTTTGCTAGGGAGGGACGCTGATCATCGCTAGCGGTGGGCGGGCGTCCTGTGCTGAGCTGCTTCGGTTTTGTAGTTTATATTTCATCCTTTACTTTGAGCACGTGGCCAAGTCCAAAGCCATGGGAACGTGGAGTTCGGCAGACAGAGCTTGTGGGTTGTTCTTTATGGTCCCCACCCTCTGTGCACCTCCCAGGGGACAGGCCGTTGAATACCCCTCCTCTCCAGGTGGGAGAATCTGTGCAGTTGGCGCTTCTCCAGGGCTTGGCGCACTGCCCCAGGGAAGCCATCGGGCCTGTACTTTTCCTGGTGGGATCTTAACTCCAACTTCCCTTTGTCTGGTCATCAGGGCTGCTCAGTTACCTGCTCTTTATTTTTGAGCACTTCTTTGCCCTGGAGCACAGCGTGCTCTTCTGAAGTCTTTCTCGGTTCAGACCTGAAACCAGCCATGTCTCAAAAGAGACTTTCCCTTAATGGGTGTGGGATCTGGAAGCCAGGAGGCTCGCTGTGGGGAGCTGTGCCCCAGCAGCTCTCCAGTGAGCAGCTCCTCTGTCGGTGCTTTCCGGGGGCCGCTGCGATGGAACCACTTCTGAGCATGGTTAGTGGACAGAGGCGAGAAATGCATTTCCCGGGAAAGGAGAATTTGCACTGGTATTTCCAGCTAACATTTAACAGCAGGATATTTTCCTCCATTAGGAGCTTTGATTTCACATTTTAACTCCTTCCTTTCACTGAGAACCTCATTCCTAGTGCGGTTTAACACCTGCTTTCAAAATGTGTGTCAGGAGAACTCAATGCAGCTATTGAGTGAAGTGAGACTTTTTTGTCAGTTCTTTTTTTCTTTAAAAATATTACACTGCAGTGTGCAGTATTATGACTGAAGTCATGTGAAAGAGTTGTTTTTCCCATAGTTGTGTTATATACTTGATATGATTAGGTTCATTTCAATTCATTTTTAGTTCTAAGATTTTTTTTTTCTATTTTTTCTTTGGATTTAATTTTTGATTGTGTAATATATTTACATGGTTCAGAAATTAACATTATGTATCCAAAAACATACATTCAGAAAAATCTTCCCTATACCTTCCAATTTTTCTCCTGTTCTCATCTCAATTTTTTTTATTAAATTCTGATTTATCCCTCTAATGTTTGCTTTTTTTGGCAAAATAAGCTTTCTCTATATATATGTAGATGTACCAATATATGAGTTTTATAAGCATGCCTATGTGAGTTCATGTATATGCATGTATGAATAGGTGCGTATATGTGCATATATAGTATATCTCCTGACCCTTCACTTTCTCTTTTTCTTTTGCTATTCATTCATATATGTGTGTATATATACAGATATATGTGTGTGCATATATATATATATATGCACACACATATACACACAGACACGTCCTTTCTTACATAAAAGGTGGTAAACTCCACGCACAGTTTTGCACTTTGCTTTCCTTACTTCACAGTATAATAGAGATCACTCCCTGTCGGTACAAAGAGATTTCCCTAATTTATTTTATTGGTGCATAGTATTCCACAGGGATGGTTCATAGTTTATTCAACCAGTTTTGCACTGACAGGCAGTTCTAATGTGTCAGATCTTTGGGTATTACTAATAATGCTACCATGAATAACCTGTGGTATGTGATTTTGTAACTGATCCTTATAAAGTGGACACTTGTGTAACCGCCATCCAGGTCAAGCAGTAGACTGTCGCTAGCACTCCACAGGCCCTCTGTGTACCCTTGCCAAGTGCAGCCCCTGTGTTAAGGCCCTCTGCTCTCTTCTGTGGTGATCATATCCTTGCCTTTCTTGGTGGTTTCCCTGCCTAAGCATACATTGCAAACACTGTTGTTTAATCTTGTGTATTTGGATTTTATATGAGTGGAATCATAAATTATATGCTCTTTTGTGTCTGGTCTTTTTAGCCCAAAATGACATTTGTGAGATTTGTCCTTGATGTTGGGCATAGCTATTTTTGTGGATCTGAATTGCTGTGTAATATTGCCTTGCTATTTTCCATTCTATGGTTGAATGGCATTTGGGTCATTCCCAATTATTTTTGACTAGTGTTGTCTATGTCTCTTGGTGCCCATGTGTATACATTTCTGTTGACTTTGGAGTTCAGGGTGAAGGAGGGTCTCACAACCACTTATTCTCTAGAAGGACTCTTAGGAACCAAACAAGGTTGTACTTATGGGTAAGATTTGTCACAGGAAAAGACACAGAGCCAATTCTGCTTGTGGGTTGCTAATGGTGAATTCTTGCATTTCATTTTTCTTTGAAATATCTTTCATCTTTATTCCTGAAAGATATCTTGGCCGGATGTGTTGGTCATTGTTTTCTTTCGAAACGTTTGAGGTGTTATTCCATTTTCTTCCAGCTTCATTATTTCTTTGGAGAAATCACCCAACAATCTAATTGCTGCAAATGTGAAAGTAATTTCCTTTCCTCTTTGTGATTCTGATTGTCTTTAGGATTTTTTTTACTTGTTTTTGGTTTTCAGCATTTGTACCCTGATGTGTGTGCTGTAGTGTATCTTATTTGGACTTTTCTGAGCTCCTTAAACATGTATGTATCCAAGTTCTTCATTGTATCTGACAACTTTTCTGCTAGTACATCTTCTTTCCCCTTCACTTTCTCTTTTTCTTTTGATATTCTTAACGAAGCACATTTTAGACCTTAATACTGTATTCTCTAAACCGCACTGGTTTTTATTCTGTATTTTTATCTCTGCCTTCCATTGTGGACAGAACTGTTCTCCATTTCAGTGGGATTCTCTTCTACTGTGTCTAATCTGCTGTTAAACCCATTCATTGACCATTGATATTAGCTTATTATATTTAGTTTTAGAACTTCATTGTTTTCAAATCAGCATGTCAATTTTTTAAATTTCCAGTTCTGAACTTTTCAGTTTTGTTGATCATTTTCTTGAATATATTAAGTCTAGTTATTTTGAAGTCTATGTTGGATAACTCAACTATTTTAACCCCTTGTGAATCTGTCCCTATTATGTACTGTTTCCTGCCGGTTCCATTGGTACTTGTTATATTGGATTTTTTTGCTCATGGGCCGGATTATGCTTGACAGTGTGCCAGACAGTACATTGGATATTATTTTTTAAATAGAGGCAAGAGATATGTATTAGTCAGTAATAAAATATCCGAGGCTTGATAATTTAAAAAGAAAAGAAGCTTATTTGGCTCACAGTTCTTAGGTTCAAGGGCGTGGCACCAGGTTCTTCTGCTTAGCTGTGGTGAGCCTCATTGCAGGTGGCTTCACAATGGTGGGAATTCATACAGAAAAGATTTCATGAAGAGACAGGAAGCCTGGGAGATTCAGGGGTTAGACCCGCTCTTTCATAACAACCTACTCTCTGGAGATCTAATTCACTCTGTGAGAATAGCATTGACCTCTTCTTCTAAGGGCATGTCCCCAGTGACCAGTTACCTTGCATGAGCCCCACTACTTAAAGGTCCTAGCTCCCAACATCACCTCACTGAGACCACACATGAATTCTCGGGGGACTACACTCAAACTACATCCAAACTAAAGCAGGATAAAATTTTCTGTTGTTTCTGAGGATTTTTCTTTGCTGCTCTGAGGGACCTGGAACCAACAGCAGAACAAGAGACAGCCTGAATAAATTCCAACAACTGAGACTTTCTGGGTGACTGTGCTAAGGTCCATGCAAATGCTGACTTAATACCTGGCTTCTCCTCTGGCTCGGGACTCCGCCCTTTGTAAGAGCAAACTGATGTAAGATGTGGGGACTCTAACCTGGCCCTCTCTTCGGCCTCCCGTGGTTGTCAGAGTGCTGTTCACCCCCTTTGGCACCTTTTCTGGAAAATGCTCCTGGGGTTAAAGAGCCCTCAAGTGCTGGGCTCAGCACCACAAATCCAGTCTCCTCTGAGGTCTTGCCTAGGAAGTCGTTTGCTCCCTTATTAAGGCTCTGTTGACTCCTTTAAAACCTGTCCTGTCTTCCTGCTTTTCTCCAGGGACGGTAGGTGCAGCTCACCCAAGTGTCCACTGTTGGAAACTTCAGGTTCTTACCGAACGTTCCCTAAAAGTGTCCAAAAGCTCTAGGGCCAGGAGGCTCCGGGGGAAGCTCAGGTCAGCGCTGCAGAGCAGAGTGATGAAGTGTGTGTTCACCTGGGAAAAAAGGAGAACTCCAAGTTCTCTTTGTGATATTGCCATATCATCGATTCTAAAACTTGGCAGAGGGTAAACACGCACACACACACACACACACAGAAAAAAAAATCCCTGTGATCTCAGAAATGATTACCATCTCCAGAAAGTCACTCGGTCTTCCTGACGTCAGGATCCAGTCACCATGAAACTGACATCTCATCTTCTGCAGTTTAGAAGTAAACTCTAAGTGGTACGACAAAGTGTTTATTCAAGGAACTAGCTAAGCCTTGTGGTTGGGAGAAGCAGTCGCCTGGAGTCAAGCCACGCCTCCGTCAGTGCTTTCCGGGGTAGAGATGGGGAAGAGTTGGGAAAACCTGGTTTGGGCCCATCTCCCGTTGACTGAGCTCTAACTACCTCACATCTATAAAATGCAAAAATGGATGTTCCTGAGCTGGTTGAAGATTTGGTAAAAAAGCATTTGTGAAGAGCCTGAGCTAAACAAATATGGGTTTTTCCCTCCCTATCCTTTGCCTAAATTATAAGACTGAATGCAGCTTCCAGTTGCTGGGGGGCAGAGTGCTGAGTCTACAGAACCCGGGTCAGACGTGGGTGCAGCAAGTGTGGGGTGACTCTCCAGGGAGCTGCACCCCAGCGGCTCTCCAGGGTGGTGACCTCTTCAAGGAAATGGTGGGAAGCCATGGTGGGTGGGCCGTGCTGCCCAGAGAGGGTCTTGTGAGCAGGGTCAGGGTGCTCCTTTCTGGGCAGGAAAGGAATCTCGACTGACGCTCAGTTACGTTTCAGGCTCATCGGAGAAAAGACGGGGAGTGTGGCAAGAGGGATCAACATTGCCATCGTGGACTGTAAGTTCTAAATGATTTCCTTAAAATGTCTCTAAGAACTCTGAGGTTGGGTTTTTCACCCAGACCTTGAGCTTTGGAGAGCTTTGCACATGATCTAGTTTAGGTCTGTCTTAGTGCATTTTAAAATGATGTACTTAGTTATTCTTACGAGCCCCACATTTCAGATTGTGTTTCAATAACAACAAAACTCACTGAAGACCAAACACAAAAGGAGTTTACAAAGCACAAAGGGGAATGGTGGGAACCCAGAGGAGCACCAGCTGGGGCCCCGGGTCGCATCTCAGTCCCTCTGCTGGCCAGCTCCCACTGCCTTATGATAAACGGCCACTGAAGTCCATGGAAGGCAGATCTGGGCCTTGCTCGGAGGTCCTGCTGCCACTGGGAACCCTGGCACTAAGAACTGCAGCAGGGTCAGAAGGAGTTCCCTGCAGAATCCCCGGGGCAGCAGACAGCATGGGCCAGGGACAGCAGAGCTGCAGGGAGAGACAGTTCTCCCTGTTGAATGACCCCAGGGAAGGCTGACGCACGTGGCGGAAGGGGCTGAGGGGTCTCGTTGTCCCTGGGGGAGATGCAGTGGGGAGCAGAACGGTAAGGTCAGCTCTAACTGGGTGCAGGCTGCAAGCGGCTCTAGAGCAGTGGCCAGGCTCTGTCCCGCTGTCCCTGTGCTTGGTGACATCCTTTAGGCCATCCCATCAGCTGTTTCCTGCAGACACACAGACAAGAAACGGCCTGTTAGGAGGGACCAGGGCCACCAACACACCCTGTATTATTTATTTTTTAAGCACAATTTCTTTTATTTGCAGATATAACTGGGAAGCCGATAGCCACACAGTATTTTGATATGTATGAAGGTGGTAAGAAAACATTTCCTGTTAAGACGAAGTTTAAACATGGACTAGACCCTAAAGAGACTGGGCATCTATTCAGAAAGGAGGAGGGCCGCTCTGGTCTGCATCTCTCTCTGCGGGCCCCTCGGGCAGGCGTGGCTGCCCTGCTCTGGGATGGCACCTGAGTCCGGCTTGAGGCTAGTGAGTGCAGAGGCCCCTGGCCGGTGCTGCAGGAGCCGTGCTGTTGGAGGTTGGCTGCTGGACCTCTCGGGGCTGCCTGCATCGGCTCTTGGTCTGGGAGAGCTCCTTTCCCACTCTGTACCCAGAACGCCACCCAGTGTCTGTCCTGTCACTCACCTCAGATGGTCCCCCAGTGAGCCCCGATGGCACTGATCCCATGGTTGAGGCCATCACTAGGAAGCAGGGATCAGAGTGGACATAGAGGCCGAGGGCAGAGGGAGGCCCTGGCCAGGGCAAGAGCCTCCATTGGCAGAGAAGACCCTCAAACTCCCCTGCATTGACCCCACAGATAACTCTGGACCAATGATGAAGTTCATTCAGAGCGCTCCTTTGAGATCCCTGCTGTTCATGGTGACCCACGATGACGGAAGTACCAGGTGAGTGTGTTGCAGTCAGCATGGCCCCAGCAGCCAGCGGGGCAGAGCGCCAGGGGCCTCCCTCCCGGTCTCCAGGGGAGACAGAAGTCCAAGCAGGGAGGCGCTTGTTTCAGGGACAGGAATGGCTTGCAGATGGCATGACAAAGCAGGCTGTCTCTAAAAAAACTCTAACATGGAACTGGAGCACCTGCCTGCTGGCCGGGGCCTCAGTCCCTCACAGCAAGCAGCTCGGCAGGGAGGTATGAGCTTTCCAGCCAGAGAAGCCGACCCAGAGAGGGACTTCCAGGAAGATGGCTTCCCCACACGGGGAGCAGCAGAGGGTACAGGAACACACACACACACACACACCACACACACACACATGACACACACACACACACCACACACACACACACATGACACACACACACCACACACACACCACACACACACACATACACCACACACACACACACACCAAACACACAAACACACACACACACCCCACACAGACACCACACATACACACACACACTAAACACACACACACCACACACACCACACACACACACCACACACACACACACCACACACACACACCACACACCACACACACTACACACACACACACCAAACACACAAACACACACACACCACACACACACACCACACACACCACACACACACACACACCACACACACCACACACACACACCAAACACACAAACACACACACCACACACACTACACACACACACCACACACACACACACACCACACACACACCACACACATACACCACACACACACACACCAAACACACAAACACACACACACCCCCCACACACACACACCACACACACACACCACACACACAGCACACACATACACCACACACACACCAAACACACAAACACACACACACACCACACACACCACACACACACACACCACACACACACACCACACACACAGCACACACATACCACACACACCACACATACTACACACACACACACCACACACACACACACCACACACACTACACACACACACACACCAAACACACACACACACACCACACACACTACACACACACACACACCACACACACACCACACACACCCCCCCCACACACACACTCATGGAGGAGTTGGTTTAGCTCAGTACTTCTGAGTGTGATCTGCCAAGTCAACATGCGCCTGTCTTTAGGGAGAATTCGTGAACCTGGAAAGCATTTTACAAATGTGTCTGACCTCAGATTCATTTCTCAGGGAGCGTCTGACACACCAAAGTTCCTTAGATGATGCTTGGAAAATGCATCAAAATGACTCCCTTAGAAAATCTAAACATCTTGTTCTCTTGTTCCCCCTCCTTCCTTCACTTATTCTGCACCACACCATTTCGCACTGATGGTGTTGTGTTTTGTTTTGTATTTCTTTCCTTTTCTAATGCTGGATTTTCTGACTATGGAAAAGCACCACTTTGGACCTTGGTATCGTCCTCCAGCTTTGCTGTCCACTTATTTTGTAGTCAGTAAGCAAAGTAGCAACCTGGACTGGAAAGGATGTGGGCCAAGTTTGAGGATGTGGCTGAACCCCCAGACACACGCAAGGTCCTTTCAGAACCAAGAAGTAAGACCTCAGAACAGGTCTCAGGGCTCTGGATGCCATCATCTGTTGTGCACCCAACCAGCAGGTCCTACGAGCCGCCTCCCTGCAGCCGAGGGGGGCGCCGGCTTCACCTCGCTCAGGACCACAGCATGACTGGCGGCAGCAGCCTCCTCCCCTCGGGTGTCCTCGGGAGGCTTTCTCACGCTGTCCCCTTTGCCTCCAGACTGAAGGCGGGCGCCAAGGATGCCATCGAAGCACTCGGAAGCAAAGAAATCAGGAACATGAAATTCAGGTCAAGCTGGGTATTTCTCGCAGCCAAAGGCTTTGAACTCCCTTCAGGAATTCAGAGAGAAAAGGTGAGTGCTTTCCAGCGTAAGGGCTGGGATCTGAAAGGCTGCCAGTGGCTGTGGGTAAGCCTGGCCCGGTCCCCTGGGGTTGGTTCTCGGCTGAAGTCTGGAACTCTCAAGTCTCTTTAATAGAAGATTCTGAGAGGGCCCTGGGATCAGCCTCCCACCCCTGCCGCCAGCGGGCAGTTCAGGCTCCTCCCACGGAGGTCAGCCTTGCCCCTGCTGGGGACAGTGATGGTGCTCCCCTCCTGGGGGACAGAGGGGCTTCAGGGGCCAGGCCAGGCGGTCCCACATTCACCAGCCCTTGATCAATACAGCTGTCCCCTCCTGTCCTACCTTGTCACGTGACAGATCTTGCCTTTCCATATGACCCTGTTTATCAGGGAAAAGGGAAGAGCAGAACCAGGTTCTGACTCACTAAGTCTCCTGTGGAAATCCCAGCCGAGGGTGGCTCAGGGCCATTGTTGGAGTCACCTTCAGGACCATAGCACCAGCCCCATACAATGAGTCCTTCCAGCTGTTCCGCAGGTCAGCTTCCGGGGTGCGGTTGTTCTGGTGCTCAGAGCTGTTAGTGGCCCTGGGCCGACTCGACTGCTGGAGAGCATAAGGAAGTTTGAAGATGCTTCTGTTCACCCTCTTGGTCTTGTAAGAGGGGAGGAAGCCGAGCCCCACCAACTGAGGACTAGTGAGGGTAGACGATTTCTGTAACTGAGCTGGGGCCTAGACTCGAGGACACGCCCTGCAAGGGACCTACCTCCAGCTGAGCCTTGCAGAGAGCTTCCCCAGGCCCCCCCCCCCAGCACCCGCCCAGGCTCCTCCTCTGGGTCTCTGTCCCCGCCTGCATGCCCAGGACACCCAGGCTCCCTGCAGCGGGCATGCAGGACTTGGTATCCGGGTTTTTTTGTCCTTTCTTGCCTGGATTATAACATGTTAAAGGCAGGAACCACAATTTTCTTTAAATTTTGTCATCCCCAAAGTCTCAACAATAAAAAAAAAATTATCACTAGATTAGTTTTAAGAAGATATATAGGAGATGGATAGATAGATGGACAGATGTAGCTCTAAGTGAGATTTACCCTGGGGTTACAAAGTTAGTTTAACAACCCCCAAATCCGTCAGTGTACCAAACCACATTAATAGAAGAAAAACCCGACTACCTCAACAGACACTGAAGAGCACCCAACACCCCTTAGTGATAAAAGCACTGAACACACTAAGAATAGAAGGGGACTTTCTTGTATGTCACAGTACATCTATAAAACCCCACAGCTAACATCATGCTTAGGGTGAAAACCAGACAATTTCCCTTCAAGATCAAGCAAAAAAAGAACATCATCATTGCGACCTTTTTCTCCATTGTAGTGAGGAATCTAGTGAGGACAGATGGAGAAGGCTTGTGCAGTGGTCAGTGCCTGCCCTGTGTGTGCGAGGCCCTGGGTCCCATCCCAGCACTGCCAAAAACAGTAAAAAGTAAAAAGTCATCCACATTGAAAAAAAATCTGACTCTCTCTATCCACAAATGACGCCATTTTATGCATAAAAACAACCTTAAGGAATCCACTAAAAACTATTTAAACTGAGGGAAAAGCTTAGCAAGTTTTTAGACTATGAGATCAATGAAAAATTAACTATATTTCTATTTTTTGCAATGAACAATCAGAAAATGAAGTTCAGAAAATAATTCTATTCAGAGTAGCATTAAATAATAAGACAAAGGAAAAATTTAATGTAGGGGAATAAGACTTGCATACTACAACTAATAAATCACTATTGATGAAAATTAAGAAAAAGAGAAGATAGTCCATGTTCATGGATCAGAAATTTTAATACTGTTTCGAAGTTAGAACTCCCAAAATTGACCTACAGATTTAATGCACTCTCTACTTCAACTGACTTTTCAAAATAGAAATTGAGAAATTTATCCTAAAAATTATATGAAAATTCAAGGAACTCAGATAGCCAAAGTGGTCTTGAGAAAGAAGAATGGAGGTACAGCACTCCCAGGTCCCAGTTCTGAAACACAGGACATGCTACCGTCATCCATATGGTGTGGTGTCGGCATAAAGCCAGGCACATGGTCAGTGGAGTAGAATTCAGACTCCATAAAATGGGAGTCCTCATGGCTTGACCAGCTGACTTTCAACAAGGACACCAAGGCCATAACTGGTATAGATAAAACCAGCTATCCATGTGTACAGAAATGTGCTTGGGTCCCCACCTCATGTCACATGCAGAATCTAACTCAGAATGTCAGGGCTAGAACTTCAACTCAGGAAAAAAAAAAAAACAAAAAAAACAAAACATAGGCGTGAATCTTTGTGACCTTGGTAGGCAGCAGTCTCATGGCAATGACATCACTAACAACAAAGGTCAATGCTTTTCATCCAAACAGAACTTTCCTGCTTCAAGGACACCATAAAGAAAGCAAGAATCAGAGAATTCTCACGGAATTGGAGAAAATATTTGCAAATAATAGAATGTGTTCAGAATATATATATAAAGAACTCTTGCAGCTCAATATTAAAAAGACCGCAAACTTATAAAGTGTACAAATGATCTAAAATGCTTCCTTTTCAAAGAAGGTTACAAAAGTTCATGAATAGCCGTTCAGCAGCGTTAGTGATCAGGGAAATGGGATAAAATCACAATGACATGCCACCTCTCATACCAGGATGGCCACAGCCCTATTATTCCCAGTTTAAAATAAGCTGGTCTGACTCATTGAAGAGAAATTGAGAATCCTCAGGCCTGTCAAATGGTGCAGCCTGGGCTGAGCTGGGGCTCAGTGGTAGAGGGCTTTCCTGGCGTGTGTGAGGCACTGGGTTTGATTCTCAGCACCACGTATAAATAAATAAAATAGAGGTCCACTGACAACTAAAAATTAAAAAAAAAATGGTGCAGCCCTTTGGGGAGCATTCTGGCAGGTCCTGAAAAGTTACACAAGCAGCTCCCACAGGACCCAGCAATCTCACCCGAAGTATGCACCAAAGGCGTGAAAACATGCCCTCCTACAAAATCTGCTCTGATGTGAGCACAATCATTTGAGCAAGGAACTCTAAAGTGCCCTGAGAAACACACACAGTGCTGCTCCTGGCTGAAAACTAAGCGTCAGAGCTGTGCTCCCAGCACAGCTGATACCAGTCAGGTTTGCATTCACATTAAGTGCATTAAAATGGAGCAGAACTTACAATTCATTGTCTTCTCTCAAGCCACACCCCAGGTACTCCAGCTGAAGGTGGCTAGTGGTGACCGTTGAGTAGCATAGGCCACAGAACATTTCCATCTCTGCAAAGTGTCCTCGAGCTGCATTCAGGGTTATCAAGAGGCGTGTAAAGAGGAAATCCAAGAGCCAGCTTGTGCTGGAGCAAATCCCGCTCCAGGAATTGTTTCTGCTCATGTGACTTTGCTCAGTGACAAAGATTAAATATTTGCTGACTAGCTTAGTGAATAAATAAAACACTTGTTTATTTTCCTCTCACACAGATCAACCACTCCGATAATTCGAGGAACAGGTATGCTGGCTGGCCGGCAGAGATACAGATAGAAGGCTGCATACCAAAGGACCTGCGGTAGCGTGACATGTTCCCCGGGAATGGCTTTGTGCGGTGGAGGCAGCTGGGCTGGCCCGAGAATCTTATCTCTTTAAGTCTGACAGTCAATCCCTGAAGAATATTTTGCTAGTTGATAAAATCTTGGCACACGATGTTTTTACACTGGTGCTTGTGTCCTGAGGCTAGCGATGAACAGGAAGCCGAATGCGTGGGAATTCACGGGGGACCCCAGATGTAACATGGAGAGTGTGGGGAGCACCCTGCACATCTGGTCTGGAGCAGCAGCCCACTCTCCTAGTGCAGCCCATGTGGTCCCCCTAGTCCTGCGGAGAGTCTCTATCCTGCGGTCTCCGAGCATGCCCTGGCTCCCAAGTCATCTCCTGGGAGAATGAGCTATGGTCAGGAGGGTGCAGCCGACATCCTTGGTCACTTCAAGTGGCATTCTTGGGTCTGCCTGTGGGCTGTGGATTTTTTCATTTATTCACTCATTCACCTGGGTGCTGCCTGCCCCTGGCACTTGGGAGCCCAAGTCTTTGTAGAGGCCTCAGCAAATCAAGGATGGGATGGTGGCCCAGGCCCAGTTATGGGCCGAATGGGTCCCCCTAAATTCATTTGTTGATGTTCTGATGCCCAGTAAATACCTCAGAATGTGACCTTATTTGGAAATGGAATTTTTGTAGCTGTAGTCAAGATGAGGTCATCCTGGAGCCGGGTGGCCCCTCTTCCATATGACTGCTGCCCTTACAACAAAGGGCAGACCTGGACACAGATGGACACAGGAAGGAGGCCTTGGGATGATGAAGGCAGAGACCTGGAGAAGCCTCTTCAAGCCGGGAAACGCGAAAGGTTTCAGCAACACCAGGAGCTGCGAAGGTGTGGGACGGAAAGCAGCTCACCCCCCGCTCTGTGTGCTCTTCAACACAGCCAGAGAGCCGCCCTCCCTGGAGTCCCCAGGCCAAGAGCAGTCCTCTGGCTCTGCACCAGCCGTGGCCTCTGAGCATCCTGGGCCCTGGGCGGACTCTGTGGAGGCAGGGCCGTCACTAGTGCCCTGTCTCCAGGGATGTCCAGGAAGTCAGCGCCGTGTGATCGCTGGGAAGCTGCTGAGATCGCTGCGACTTGTGGAGAAGGTGAACAATGGAGACATTGGAGGGCTAAGTGGCTGCCAGGGCAGGGAGGGCTGGACGGGCAGCGTGTGGGGGATTCAGGGGCTGACACCACGTGCATTGGACTATAGGTGGCTCCAGGTCATCACCCAAAGCCTCAGAATGGACAGCACCAAGAGTGAACCCTAATGCTGAGGCAGACGCTGGGTGACAATGACGTGTCAGCCCAGGCCATCAACTGTCACAGAGTGCCCTCTGGGGTTGGTGGTGGGCCACTGTGTGTGAGTATTCAGGACAAATTCAGCAATCTGTACCTCCTGCTCCATGCTGTGTGAACCTAAAACTGCTCTTAGCAATAGTGTATTACAAAAAAGCGTCCACACAGGAGGACAGCCAGGTGGGCAGAAGCTGAGCCTCCTGGTCGCTTTGCACTTGAGCCTGAACCTATCACCAGCTCCCCAAGGGGGAAGGGTGGGCCCGCTGGGCTTTCCTCAGGAAGTGGGGGGTGGGCTGGGTCCCCTAGGTGCTGACCCTTCCACAGAGAGGACCAGCTCTCTAGAGCAAAAGGCCTGGGATTCCTGATTTCTCGGCATTTTGGCCTTTGCACCCCTGGGGCTGCTGGCCACAATCTGCAGCCACATGGAGCTTGCTCTGGATTGAGAAGAGGACCCTCCCTTCAGCTGCCCTTGTCTCTCTCAGCCCTGGAGGCAGGGGCACTGCCAGCCCTGTCCTGCCAACCCCGTAGATGGACACCATGTTTGAGGGCAGCATCCGATGCTCACCCAGGCACCCTCGCTGGGCCTGGGGCTCGCTGTGGGCCCTGCTGGTTACCCTCATGCTGTCCTGTGTCAGGGTCACAAGGACTCAGCCCGCTGCAGCAGGCGAGGCTCAGGGAGGCTGAGATCAGTGTGCCTGGTCTCACAGACGACAGGGAGGAGTGGACTCCACTCCCAAGGGCACAGAGCCCCTGGGCTCTGTGGGGCAGGGCAGCTTATGGTTACTCTGTTTCATTAGTCCAGGGAAATGTTTTGTGATCTCTGTTTCCACCATTGAGAAGGCGAATGCAGGATGAGAGGCCTGGGGGAGGGGATGCATCTGCCTTTGGAAGGCTCCAGATGTTTCCTAGTGGCTACAGACAGCTGCATGTGGCTCCAAGCAGTTCCAGTGGCTCCAGACAACTCTAGATAGCTCCAGACAGCTTTTAGATGGCTCCAGGTAGCGGTGGGCTGTCAACACACAGGGGCTGTGACCCTCCCAGGGAGACCAGCAGGCAAGGTATGAGCAAGCATTTGTTAAGCTGCATGCTTGACCCTGACCTGATGCTGAACCAAGAGCTCCTGCCCAGAGGCTATGACCATGTCCCTTCTCTGGGTTTCCAGCTCCTAACTAGGGGAAGGGTGACAGTGGTATGGTATGGACACTCAAGACTTTGAGATCACAAACCTGAGAGACTGTCCCAGACCTTGTCCCTGTCAGCCTATGCAGTCCAACCCAGCAACCACGCACAGCTATGCAAATTAATTTCAATTACATGGAATCCCAACCCACAGTAGCCACACTGCACTGCTCAGCACCTGTGTGGAGCAGACCAGAAAGGTCCAGCCCAACACACAGTCACTGCAGCCATTTCCATGGGACCTCCAGCTGGCAGTCACTGGGTCTCCTCCAGGTGCAGCCCCTCCCCTGCCTCCCCTGAGACTCCTTAGCGATGGCGACTCCGGCCCACCCTGACCTGAGGGATCAGACTTGCCAGGTTGAGACAGAGCTCCAGTTGAATTGTGAGAGCACGAGGACAATTCAGCTGTGTTTCTGTGGCCAGACACTTGGCTTCATGCCTCTCACGGGTCGCTGGTGATGGGACTGAGATGGTTCATCACAGCAAAGCAAAGCCTAGCAAGAAAAGGGATGGCTGGCCTGGTCCCTGACCTGTTCTGAACGTGCTCAGGTGGGAGGCGGGTCCTGCAGGGAGAGCCCTTGGCATCTGAAGTGCAGCAGATGTGCCATCCACATTGTCCCCTGAGCAGCATGGCATGTGCCTGGTAAACCTGGCTGGTGCCAGGAGGCGGGAACCATAAAGATAAGTGCCTAGTGCTTTGGCGGTGGTGGTGGCCACCAGCCAGCCCTGCATGCAACCGGCAGTTTCTAGAGGGAAACGGCTGCATCAGGGCACAGGGTGGCTCCACTCTTCTCTTGGCCACCTAGGCCACTGGATTTGGGGGATAGCTTTGCTTACTATCATGCAGAACCTGGGGCTGGGTGGGGAAGCATAGTGCTGAAAGCTGTCTCTGAGGCTTCGGATGCCGCTTCTGCAGTATTCTTGGCACAGTGACATGGCCTCGGTGATGGGCGGGACACTGGCTCCAACTCCTGTATGTAAATACTCCCACCACACCCGGTTCTCAGCCAGCAGGAGCCAGCTCCAGCATGCAGGCTGGGTGCTGAGTCCACTTTGTAACTGGCACTGAGCAGAAAGGAGACGTGGGTTCGTGCTACATGTTCTAAAAACGGTTCTTTCCCATTGCATTGGAATTCTGTCCACAGCCATCTGCCACAGAGGAGGGATGCAAGCCTCTCACTCCCTGCCCTCCATCCACACCCTCTCCTCCTCCCCAGCAGCACTCAGGGCTTCCTATCTTAGGATTTCTTTTTAAGGAAATTCTGTGCATATTCTCTGGATGCTCACCCTAGGAAAGAAGCCCCTCTCCAAGGACTAGTGTCTGTTAGATTCACAAGCACATCCCAGGGACCCAGTGCTCAATAAATATTTGTGAATGAGTAGAGGAATAATTACTAGTTCCATAAAAAATAATAAAGAGGCATGAGCCCTGGGAGACGAGGTTGTATTTGCTGTCTGCTGGTGTGGCAGATGTCACTGTGGATGATGCGGGGCTGGAGTGAATGGAGACAGCAAAGCAGCAAAAGATCCCAGTGTCCAGGTGTCCAGGACCCCATGGAGCTCTGGCATTGCTTGCAGCTCAGTTGTGATGGACCTGCCCATGTAGGGGATACAGATGGCCTTAGAGATGGCTGCTGCGCAGGGTGGGTCCTGTCCCTCATGCCCATTTCCACTTTTCTAAATTGTTGTGTTTACTTTCATCCTGTCAGATTAAACTTCCAGACTCAGCAGGGGAATGTCCTCTAATGAGAGGTGCTGGGGGACCATGTGTCCTGGAGAGTGCTGGATTCCCATTCCCACACCTGTCCACATGCCCCTGCCTCTCTGTCAAGAATTCTAGGAGAGGCAGACCAAAGGCAGCCTGGGAGGCGGACAGCTCCCCCTGCAGAGTGCCTGGAGTCCCCCCTACTCCTGCGCTCTGGCCACCCCCTTGGTGGTCAGGAGCTCTCTGTATCTCCGCCCTCCAGGGCCTTCCTGCCAGCGACGTGCACAGGGCTTTGGGATTGTAAAGCTGTGGCTCTAAGTATGCAAGGAAATCGCTTCGCCCTGTAGTTTCTGGACTTTTCCCAGCTTTTGGTGGGCCATACATACACGTGGCAAGTCTGAGCTTTCCCAAATCCCTTTGGCTGCCTGGAGACCCCTGGTGGAAGATGGAAGGAAGGGCAGGAGGTACAGGCTGAGCTGGAACTGACCAGGCTTGAGTAATTCAGACAGGGCTCCCTGGGAGTGGACAGCAGAGCAGGGCCACCGCCCAGCACCACAGGGGCTGCCTGGTGGGGGGAGGTGGCACTCACAAGCATATTTTCTTGCTTCACTTGGTCCCCTCAAAAGTCCTGTGTTGAAGCCCTAACCCCCAGCACCTCAGAAATGGCCTCATGGGAAACAGGATCCTGTGGTGTCTTTAAGGTGAGGCTGGGTTAGAGCAGACTGGCCCCCTAGCCAACACCACAGTGTCCTTCTTAAAAGAGATGTGGACACCCACAGCAAGGGGACACCACACAAGGACAGAGTTGCGCTGCCCAGAAGGTGCCTCAGAAGCTGGAGGGAGGCGTGGGGTAGGTCCTACCCACACCCACAGAGGCAGTGTGACCCTCACACCCTTGATTTTGAACTTCAGCCTCCAAGACTGTGAGAAGAGTTTTGTTCTGAACTAAGTATTTGGGGTACCTTGTTACACAATTGCAGGAGACCTGATAGACCTACATTTTGGCACATACTATACTAAGAGACCTAATCTGTTCCCCCAACTCACTTCTCTTTGGGAAGAGTTGGCATCCATGTCTCCCTGTGTGCAAAAATCTGAAGGCACAGTAATTTAACAAAGTGGTACAAGAGGTGACAGGGGTTTTTCTACTTGGAACATGGGTCTCAGAGCATGGCACCAAAGCACCACTCAGACCCTGTGAGGACACAGGACATGCTTGGGCCAGTCTACTGCAAGGCAATTTGTGATTTTCTATTCAGGAGATTGATAGAATCTTAATATGATTTCCTGATATTGTAGAGATAAAATAAGTCAATGGATGCGTTTTTGAGGGCCACTTTTCCTAACAAAGGGAAAGCAGAGGTCTTTTACAAGGAACCTTGTTTTCTCTTCATCCTTCCTGAAAGGCAGGCACCTGGGAGGTGGCTGCAGGGAGCAGAGTGGGTGGGGTGCAGGACACGGACAAGAAAGAAGGGCCCAAGGACACCTAAACAGCAGGGACCTCCTTTTGCCCCCCACTAGAGGGAAGGGCTTTCCAAGAGATTTTCCTTTTAAGAGAACAGCATCCATGTTGATACCTGTTCTTGTTCCACTTCTGATTTATCCAGCAGTATCTCTGTCACACAGGCAGCCGCCTGGTGGCTCTTGACAAGGCTCAGCAGGTGGGCTCCCAACTGCCTTGAAGCCCAAAGCAACTCTCTGCTGCACGCAGGGGGGCCCTGGAGTCACTTGGTCCTATTCAAAGGCAGGCCTCTGATTCACCTCCATTCCTCAGGTCTCCCTGCTCTTCCATTCTCCACCCTCCCGACCTTTGTGCCCTCCTTGGACGCTGTCCCCTCTTTGGACGCTGTCCCCTCCTTGCTCACCTCTGCCCCACCTCTGACTCCTCCTCTGCACTTAGACAGACCTGGCCGCTGGCCTCATTGGCTCCTCGTCCTGTCTTTAAGTCGAGGCCAGGGGATGACTGAGACAGGACCTTCCCTGAGAGGGCCTCTGTCCCCGCAGGGCAGGGCTTGGTAGAAGAGAAAGAAGGGCAAGCCCCCTCAGGGAGAGCGTGGGGCCTCTGAGAGGAGAGAGACAGCTCCCTCCTCTGCGCCCCAGCTTTTATGGGGGAGGATGGAGAATGGTGAGAGGATCCTGCCCAAGGTCACCTCTCAGTTCTTGACCGACAGACTACACCAGCTACCAATCTGCGGACAGCTCTTAGCCATCTCGGACTGTCCAACGGGTGCTCATCAGAGCGGGTTTTATTTATTTTTTATTGGTTGTTCAAAACATTACAAAGCTCTTGACATATCATATTTCATACGTTAGATTCAAGTGGGTGATGAACTCCCAATTTTACCCCAAATACAGATTGCAGAATCACATCGGTTACACATCCACATTTTTACATAATGCCCTATTAGTAACTGTTGTATTCTGCTACCTTTCCTATCCTCTACTATCCCCCTCCCTCCCCTCCAATCTTCTCTCTCTACCCCCTCTACTATAATTCATTTCTCTCCTTGATTATTTTCCCATTCCCCTCACAACCTCTTATATGTAATTTTGTATAACAATGAGGGTCTCCCTCCATTACCATGCAATTTCCCTTTTCTCTCCCTTTCCCTCCCACCTCATGTCTCTGTTTAATGTTAATCTTTTCCTCCTGCTCTTCCTCCCTGCTCTGTTCTTAGTTGCTCTCATTATATCAAAGAAGACATTTGGTATTTGTTTTTTAGGGATTGGCTAGCTTCACTAAGCATAATCTGCTCTAGTGCCATCCATTTACCTGCAAATTCCATGATTTTGTCATTTTTTTAGTGCTGCGTAATACTCCATGGTGTATAAGTGCCACATTTTTTTATCCATTCATCTATTGAAGGGCATCTGGGTTGGTTCCACAGTCTAGCAATTGTGAATTGTGCTGCTATGAACATCGATGTGGCAGTATCCCTGTAGTACGCTCTTTTAAGGTCTTCAGGGAATAGTCCGAGAAGGGCAATAGCTGGGTCAGATGGTGGTTCCATTCCCAGCTTTCCCAGGAATCTCCATACTGCTTTCCAAATTGGCCGCACCAGTTTGCAGTCGCACCAGCAATGTACAAGAGTACCCTTTTCCCCACATCCTCTCCAGCACTTGTTGTTGTTTGACTTCATAATGGCTGCCAATCTTACTGGAGTGAGATGGTATCTTAGGGTGGTTTTGATTTGCATTTCTCTGATTGCTAGAGATGGTGAGCATTTTTTCATGTACTTGTTGATTGACTGTATGTCCTCCTCTGAGAAGTGTCTGTTCAGGTCCTTGGCCCATTTGTTGATTGGGTTATTTGTTATCTTATTGTCTAATTTTTTGAGTTCTTTGTATACTCTGGATATTAGGGCTCTATCTGAAGTGTGAGGAGTAAAAATTTGTTCCCATGATGTAGGCTCCCTATTTACCTCTCTTATTGTTTCTCTTGCTGAGAAAAAACTTTTCAGTTTAAGTAAGTCCCATTTGTTGATTCTTGTTTTTAACTCTTGTGCTATGGGTGTCCTATTAAGGAATTTGGAGCCCGACCCCACAATATGTAGATCGGAGCCAACTTTTTCTTCTATCAGATGCAGAGTCTCTGATTTGATATCTAGCTCCTTGATCCACTTTGAGTTAACTTTTGTGCATGGCGAGAGAAAGGGGTTCAGCTTCATTTTGTTGCATATGGATTTCCAGTTTTCCCAGCACCATTTGTTGAAGGTGCTATCCTTCCTCCATTGCATGCTTTTAGCTCCTTTATCAAATATAAGATAGTTGTAGCTTTGTGGATTAGTCTCTGTGTCCTCTATTCTGTACCATTGGTCCACCCGCCTGTTTTGGTACCAGTACCATGCTGTTTTTGTTACTATTGCTCTGTAATATAGTTTGAAATATGGTATCGCTATACCGCCTGATTCACACTTCCTGCTTAGAATTGCTTTTGCTATTCTGGGTCTTTTATTTTTCCATATGAATTTCATGATTGCTTTATCTATTTCTACAAGAAATGCCATTGGGATTTTGATTGGCATTGCATTAAACCTATAGAGAACTTTTGGTAATATCGCCATTTTGATGATGTTAGTTCTGCCTATCCATGAACAGGGTATATTTTTCCATCTTCTAAGATCTTCTTCTACTTCTCTTTTTAGGGTTCTGTAGTTTTCATTGTACAAATCTTTCACCTCTTTTGTTAGGTTGATTCCCAAGTATTTTATTTTTTTTGAGGATATTGTGAATGGAGTGTTTTTCCTCATTTCCGTTTCAGAAGTTTTGTCGCTGATATACAGAAATGCCTTTGATTTATGCGTGTTGATTTTATATCCTGCCACTTTGCTGAATTCATTTATTAGTTCTAGTAGTTTTTTTGTAGACCCTTTTGGGTCTTCTAGGTATAGAATCATGTCATCCGCAAATAGTGATAATTTAAGTTCTTCTTTTCCTATTTTTATGCCTTTAATTTCTTTCGTCTGTCTAATTGCTCTGGCCAGTGTTTCGAGAACTATATTGAATAGAAGTGGTGATAGAGGGCATCCCTATCTTGTTCCAGATTTTAGAGGGAATGCCTTCAATTTTTCTCCATTGAGAATGATGCTAGCCTGAGGCTTAGTTAGCATAGATAGCTTTTACAATGTCGAGGTAAGTTCCTGTTATCCCTAGTTTTTCTAATGTTTTGAACATA